CTCCGCTCAAAGAGGCATCTATGCTCTGCGATTCTCTCTTATCCTGACACCTGCTAGGTGCCGTACTGTATTAGGGAGAGTCTCGGATAATTATTCCTGGAGGCTTTAAGGGACTTAGACGCCCTACTTTAGAACAACTGCTCCTCTCATTAGTCATAGATAGCAACCGCAGATTCCATGTAGAACAACTTCTGGCTGGTGAAGTTGAAACCTGGGACATGGCAGCAGGTGCTCCTGGAAATGTGCCAGCTACCACACCTCCTCGATATCAATATCGATCACAGCCGGCTACTTGTTGGCCGGGTCGAGCTCTGATCTGGCTCTCAGGGTACCTCCAAATCCAGAGTGCCCTCAAAATATAGAAACTATGAATGATCAAACGCCACGTTAATGCAAACAGAATTGCTGCCGGGTTTCGGCCGTTTCTAAAATCGGATTATCGACATATCAATAAGCCGTCTCTGGAGTCTATGGCGCAATCATTTTCATGACTACTGAGTGATCCGAGTAGATTGGTTTTTCATACACCAATTACTAGGTTGGCATGCTTAGCTTCAACCCGCTCTTGCAAGGAATTCCTCAATGGAGCTTGGGTCCATGCCGTCAGATGGCAGACTCATTCCTGATCAGGTACCTGAACAAATTCATTTGATCCACAGCTTGATCACAAGTAGATACATCACAGTAAGTGCTTACCATATGGGTAGCCACAAAGGGCGTCCAGAATCACATGTGGTCAGTCTGTTCCTCCTGCTTATCATGTGAAAGAGTCAAATGGTCTCTACGCGGCTATCCCATTGTTCTTTGTTAGACAATGAGGCAACGAGCAGCGTGCGGATTCTTACGCACACGGATGACTGGTTATATACCGAGTTGAATCGAAAGATATATACTGAGACAAACAACAGCAGCATCTACCAGACTCGTCATGGCACGAGCCGAATCTTCCAATACATGAGGTCTTAACGACAAATAGCAAAAGAAACCGCCATAACCAAATTTTTAGGACATGCTCATATTGTACGCCAGGAGGCAAGCAAGACAGACATCGACCAACATCATAAACCTCAAGGAAACAGAGGAAAAACATCTCATTCATCAATCATCCCAGGTCTCGTCCAATTGGTCTATGAGGCGGTTTTCCGCGTCGACGTCGGAGGCATAGTTGTCTCGTCCACGACGGCCGCCGATCGCCCCGATGACACCGCCGCTAGAACCATTTGCGCGGCCGTGTCCGAGGGTTGGCGAACGTCTGACACGGAATAGACGGCCCAGGGAGGAGAAGAGGATGATGAACATGTCCTATTGGAGAGTGAGGAGATGGGTCAGCTTATTTTCAAGCCGGATAGCGGTTTCGAATGAAGTTGATCAGTAATGACATGGAGTGATGCCACATGAATAGAGAGATCTATATAAACTATGGGATCGAACAAAACCAAGACACATGCTCGATTCAGATGGGTAGAAAACTATTGAAAGAAGGTATGGGAAATGGAAAAGAGTGTATCGCCTTTTCACTGCACCCCGAGTCTCAGACCAGCCAAAGCAGAGGTCAGTCCGATCGGGAAATGGGCAACCTCGGACTACCAAACTCCTTATAGGGACTCAGGACGCCACGTCCAGATCGAATGCGAGATGACCGGAAAGGTATCAAAGCCAAGACACTCACTTTTACAAAATCAAAGATGCCCGCCCACAGACTATAGTTTGGACATTGTCTCCACCCTCTCTGGTGCATGACTGTTCGCTGATAGGCACAACCACCAACCAGATACGCGGCGACAGCAATCAGAGCACTAAGGATTGGCAGTATTAGTATTCTGTCCGGCAAAGGGAAAGTGACATGGACTTACATCACGCCGAAAACGCCCGCCGGCCCCAGGCCTTCACCGTTGGCGTGGCCGATGCTGCCACAAGCGGCCGAGCTTCGAATCTCAAAGAAGTATGTGCACTGATCCATGGTGCCGACGAAAGACGCAATGGCCTGGTGGGAAAGGGCATCCCGGTCGCACAGAAAAGACATGATCGTCGACTTGTTCCGCGAACTATGTCCGATCTGCTCGCCAGGACAAGGTGAGCCATTAGTGTAATTCAACACGAGCTTGCGGCCGCGGAAGAATGGTTGCGCGGCTTGTTCCCTGTACAATACGATCAGCCGACACATGGCACATCGCACTGTATGTTTATCAAACCTACCCAATGGAGTATATCTTCCCTTCCTTCTCGTAGTAGGCGCTGATATTCTTCCACCTGTCGCGCTCTACCCCCACCACATCCTTTATGTCTTCGACGACGGGTGCACATATATTCAGTGTAAAGTTGGCATGATAGTCATGGCCCTTGGCGTGCCAGCTTTCTTTCGGCGCGTTCTTATTGCTTTTCTTGCCGTCCGAGGGATCCGGACGGGGTATCGAGATCGCATTCAGATCGTAGTAGAGGCCGGTAGCCGGAGAGCGTACAACACAGGGGGAGAGCCCATCTTTCTTGCCCGTAGGTTCAGAGGCGGCGTAGACTGATGTAATAGGAGCTGATAGAAGGAAAAGGAGTCCCAGGAATGAGCCAGCCAGCGACTTCATCTTGTGGAGTCAATCCCCGTGGGACGAAAAACAAGCGGTATCTTGTTGAATCGACGCGACAACAAGGATAGAGGAATTGCAAGAAGGAGCGTGTTCGAAGCCGACAATAGGAAAGAAAACATACGAGCTAAAAGAGGATGAAAGAGAGACACAAGAGGTTGGATCGCGATGAAGCTGCGTAATACGGGCCAAATGGCATTTCGGTCGCAATTCTCCAATCTCCACGTGCGGAGAAGCTCCCACAAGCCATCCCATCCCGCCTTTGTTAGGCAGAATCATTTTATACGTTATTATTTTAGGGATGCGCTGCAGTTAGTCAATTCTACGAATAGTATCGTCTCAAGCGCCAAGACATCGAACGCAGCTATCGGCTTCTACTTATCCGGCCTCATACGTCGATGGTCGGTTCGGTGGGCTGCGTCCGATCGCTGATCCGCGCTATCTAGGGTTGTCCTGAAATTCTATTTAAACCTCAAGCCCCCTAGATCGTTCTGCGACACAGAGGACCAATTGCCCGTTTTCCAACCTGCTCTTGACGTGAGTCGTCGTGAACAATGGCGTCAAAGAAACCAGAGAAGTCAAAGGTTCCAATTCAACCCGTTCCAGAGAAGCGCGGATATGAGTTTCAAGGCCCGTACGTCGTCGTAACCATTGAAAGATCATAAACCTGTCAAGCTGATAAGTTGATTTCCAAAGTATTGGAGCTTTCGGAATCATCTTCGGCCTACCCTGTCTGCTCTACGCGTTCACCTTCCTCTGCAACGATATCTCGGGTTGTCCTGCGCCGTCGCTTCTGCACCCATCGACACTGTCAATTGATAAACTGAAACAAGAGGTCGGCTGGCCGGAGGATGGAATCAAAGCTCTCTATGATACTCAGGTTACCCTGTGGGTTCTGAGCTATTATTTGCTAAGCCTGCTCATGCAGGTGTTCCTCCCTGGCACAAAAGTTGAAGGTACTGAGCTGGCGTGTGGGGGGAGACTCAAGTACAAATTCAATGGTAACGATCTCTCGCGCTCCCTGGCACTTATGGTCGGTATGTTTCTGACGATCCGCAGCATTCCTGTCGTCTGTCTTGATCCTGTCAGGATGTGCGGTGGGCACGTACTTGTACGGCGCGGAATTCGCGGTATGGACTTTCCTCTGGGATAACTATGTGCAGGTGATCACTGCCAACCTCATCATCTGCACTGCCATCGCGATTTTCGTTTACCTCCGAAGCTTCTCGGTTCCCGCTCCTGGTCAATTGAATCCCGAGCTCCGGCAACTGGCGCCTGGCGGACACACAGGCAACGTCCTGTATGACTTCTTCATTGGCCGGGAGCTTAACCCCCGAATCAAGCTGCCCATTCCGTTCGTGAGTGAGACGGCGCGGACGATTGACATTAAGGTGTGGTGTGAGATGAGACCTGGCTTGCTTGGTTGGATCATTCTGAATTTGTCGAATATCGCCCATCAATACCGCACATATGGCTACATCACCGATTCGATCGTCTTGACCACTGCGTTCCAGGCCTTCTACGTCCTTGATGGTCTTTACATGGAACCAGCTCTTTTGACCACCATGGACGTCATCATGGACGGGTTCGGTTTCATGCTCTCCTTCGGCGACATGGTTTGGGTTCCGTTCCTCTACAACTTCCAAACCAGATACCTCAGTGTCTACCCCTCTGAGCTCGGCCTAAGTGGGATCCTCATCGTCTTTGCCGTCACAGCCGCGGGATATTCGATTTTCCGTGGTGCCAATAACCAGAAAAACCGCTTCCGCACCGATCCAAATGACCCCCGCGTGAAGCACCTCAAGTACATCGAGACGAAGACCGGCTCCAAGCTGCTCATTTCCGGCTGGTGGGGTTGCGCACGTCACATCAACTACCTTGGCGACTGGATCATGTCTTGGTCCTACTGCCTTCCAACCGGCGTTGCAGGGTATGCGATTATTGAGAGTATTAACCCGGCTTCTGGTGAGATGCAGAAGCAGGCTGTCCAGACGCCGGAATCTCGCGGCTGGGGAATGATTTTCACGTACTTTTACATGATCTACTTCGGTGTTCTGCTTCTTCACCGCGAGAGGCGTGATGAGGAAAAGTGCAAGCGGAAGTATGGTGCCGACTGGGACCGCTATACATCTCTGGTACGCAGCAGAATCATCCCGGGCATCTACTAGTCATGCAGCCTTTGAGCTTTGATTGCTTGCCTGCCTGGCAGTAAGATGGCGACGCCCTTTGTCTTGGAACTTGCACTGTCGCATCTTGATGTAATACATAATAATGTTGGATAAAAGTTTGTAATAATGGGTCGATGGTTTCCCAAGGGTTATACTTTCTGCAAGGGCGTTTTGACGGATACTGCAAGTGCATGAATGTCCCTTGCATTTCATCACCCCATATGTTTGTTCTGCGTATGATACTTATAGAATCAGTTCAGCGCTTGCGCTTTTTAGGATCAATGAGAACGTCCAGTCCCCATTGTCCATCGCCTTCATTAGGGATCCATCCTTTCAAGGCCTCCTTGGCCTCTCGAATGGCATCCTTCCGTGCTTTGACGGACGGCATCAATGCCACTGGCGTCTTCTTAAACTGCTCGTACGTGGACGCTGCAATCAATTGACAAAGAGCCGTATCCTGCAGAGACGGCCCCGATTCTGGGAAATTCCCCGCATGCAACCCATTTTCCCCATCAACAACCTCCAGCGTACAATCCCCCGAGCACGATGACCGCACTATATCGCGAAGCAAGCCCCAGAGCTTCGCGCGCGACAACGCAGAAGCACCCCGGGTCGTAACGGACGCCGCGCGATTCCCCTGCTTCACCCCGTTGATGATGGTCTCGTACAAGCCCGTCCTCGAGCCCCGTAGCACCGGCAAGGACTTGGAGCCGTTGTCCGATGCGATGGGACATGGATGAGGCAGTGAGGGTGCGGCCACCCACACGGCCGACACGTTCCCCGGCTTATTCTTCTTCGGCGGCGTCTGCGCTGGGGTCGTAGCCTCTGCTGACGTGGGCTTCGGTTTCCGGAACGGCCAGGTCGTCTCGATCAGGTCATTGGGAACAGAGAGGACCCTGAAGGGCTGGAACCCGTATCCGTACTGTCCTACGCTATCATCTCGCGCCGGCCAGAACCTACCATTCAGCGTCTTCATCCGCCCTGTGGCGCTGAAACACCGCTCGAAGCCAACGCGGCTTATCTCCTCTTCCGGCAGGATCAGCCCCTCGATGTACGCATTTCGAGTCGGCGTAACGAGCAGACTCGCCTCGTACGATAGGAGTGACGACACCTGCCGCAGAGCGAGCTTGTCCGAGCACGACTTGCTGAGGGTTGCTTCGGCGTCGGCGCGCGCCGGCTTGCGCCGCACGATGCCGAGGCGGGAGAAGTAGCCCCGGCCATCTAGGAGTTCTGGGCCGGGGCCGGGAGACTTGGTGCGCTCGGGTCCCGGTGCGACATCCCAGGGTCTTGGGTCGTCTTGTGCGGCCATGCAGAGCTCCATGCTTGCGTCACCGCAGGGGGCGCAGGTGCAATACATGTAGATTTTGATGTCGGGTTGGAGTTCGAAGGGGGGCCAGGCGGGGGCTGGTTCTGATTGCGCTGTGCTGGGCGCTTCGGCGGACTTCCTGCGGCGGATGAAAGGTGAAGATGCCGCACCTGGTGTATCGGTTGAGCTTGATCTTGCATGCTGTTCCTGGGCCAGCAGGCTGTGGCATTCAGACAGAAGCCAGTAGTTGAATGAGCGGAGGGCTAGAACCTCCGCGTGCCAGTCGTGTAGCACCAGGCCTCTGACTTTGGATACCTGTGAGGCAGGAAGGCATTTTGCACCAGTACTATCAAACAGTTAATATCATCCTAAGCATGAATAGGGACCAACGCCTGGATGCATACGTGACTGCTACACAGGTTAATTCCTCCGAAACAGTATTTTCCCCTACGTAAATATCAGCCAGTAACCACAAATATCAAAGAAAGAGACAAGATATAACCTTTTACAACCACGATCCCGGACATGGGGATCCATTCTCTCGACCCATCCGGGTAGATGGTAGGCTTGCTGCGAGCAGGCAGGCCATCAAAATGCGCATGCACCAAAGAGGCGATACGGGACGGCAGTGACGACTCTGCAGTCAAACAATCCATCAAAAACCATCTCACGCCACTGTCCGGAATCAAATTTCATCGACGATTTGTAGGTCTACCAACTGACATCCATGGCGATTCCGCGTAGATCACGTGATATATTCATATCTCTTGCATTAGAACAACTCCCCAACCGAAATTCTTTCCCATCAACATACAACAACCACAACACCCCTCTGTCACAAAATACCCATCCTACGCATAATAAAAAATGGCCGACAAACTCCGCACCCTCCAAAACCTCGAAGCCCTGCAGGCCCGCCACGTCGGCACCGGCCACGCCGACACAACCAAGTATGAATGGGAATCCAACATCATCCGCGACAGCTATGCGTCGTATATTGGGCACCCGCCGCTGCTCTCGTACATGGCGCTGGGAATGGGCGAGCCAAAGGAGAAGGTGCGGGCTGCGATGATTGAGAAGATGGTTCGCGGGGCTGGAAATCCACCTGAGGTTAGTTTTGTTTGCTGTGCTTGTTGAGTGAACGCTGGGTTGCTAATATTGGGGGTAGACGCAGGAATAACGAGTTTCGGGGCATGGATTGGGTAGGGCTGGATAGCACTGGAGTTGCGCGTCCCTGGATTCAGGGTAGCTCGAATTGCACGTGCGAGGTCCGTTTACAGTTACTCTTGTCGAAGAAGGGTTCTCCGGATAGCGCAGGCAATGAGCCAGAGTCAATCGGACTTTGCGGTTGCCTATAGGCCTACGGTGGCCTCTGAGAACTTGGCCTGGTATGCGAGGCCAGAGAGCAGGCTTTTCAAAGGAAATGCCGCGAGATGGAATGGTTGAGGTTTTTCAGAATATGTGTATTGACACAGGATACTCTTTGATACCCGGTGCATGGCGTTATCTGAGAACTGTCATCGTGAACAGTTCTGCTGTACTTACAACGGCTTGATTAGGATATACAATTTGATGATTGAGCTATTATTTACATGTCCCATGACATACGTCGGTGATCAAAATACTGAAACGTCCATAGATCCCCCGATGCACAAGTAGGCTAGGAGTAAGGTCAAACTTTTGACCCCTCGCCATTACCACCCTGCCGTGCCACTAACCTGGTATTCTCAGCCTGCAGCGACGCAATCAGATCTAGCCATTTCTGCCTCTCTGACCGCAGCCGCTCGACCTCCTTCTTGAGCGTATCTACCTCCCGCCGTAGAGCATCCGTCTCAGACCTAGACCGCGTTTTCTCCTCGCGGTCGGCGTTCTTGCGCTGCTGCGCTTCTATCTTGGAGGCTTCCTTGAGCTGGTGCTTTTCGATTTTCCCGAGCTGTTTAAGGAGTTTTGATTCCTGCTGGAATAAGCTGGATGCGACCTTGTGCATGTGCGCTGATTCGATGTTAGTCTTATGCTTATGGTGGCTGTTGCTTGATGAAGAAGCGCCTTCAACCGCGCCCTGCTTTAGATCGGTACTGGCAGCGCTGCTACTGGCTTGGTCGCTTGCGCCAGAATCAGCAGCAGCTCGAGCCTTCTTGGTATCCACCTCGGGTGAGGAACCGAGTTGGAGCGATTGGAGCTCGTTCCGGATGGTCTCCAGTTGAGCTTCGACCTCGCGTTTGCGCTGTGCAAGCTTGGCGAGCTGCTTCTCGTGAGAGGAAAGCTTGCCCTTTTTGTTCATCTTGATCACATCCACCGGAGAGATGCTGTCGTGGGCGAGTTCCGAGAGGGGAGTCGTAGGCACGGAGTTGGTTGTTGGGACTGGTTGTGAGGTTTGCGACGCAGCGTCGGCGTTGGTACTGGCATCTTTTTCGAGGCCTTCTGTGCCACCCTTGGCATTCGCCGCGCCAACGTTCGATGGGGTTTCTTTTTCACTGGGCTCGTCGGTGTCATCAGGGGAACTGTACTGGGCTGAAGATTCACGGGTACGGTGTGGACTGTGTGGTAGATAGTCCAGGACAGCCTTCGGCGCATATCGCTCCAGCCCTGCGTTGAGAAGATACGCGAAACTGGCAATCAGGCCATGATGTTCTTCTTCCTCATATTCCAGGTCGTCCGAGTCGGTACTATCTTCGTCGCCGTCCAGCGACGGACTATTTACCGTTTTCTCTGAAGAAACTCGTCCGTGGCTGTCGCGCTCGTCCTTGTCTCGTGTGGTTGTATCACGACAAGCCCAATCGACAAACTTGACTGCGTCGGTGCAGATACTCTTGGGGGTCCCCTTCTCCACCATCCAACGAGGAATATTGCCACCCGGATCACTCCTGGTCACCATTATCCACTCCACTGGCCACGGATCTTCTTCGTCATCCCCAACAAGGTCATCGATATGCTTGGCTGTCTCATCCCGTTTCTCTAGAACCGCCGACTCCGTCTTTCCTCGCGGTCGACCGGCTTTGCTGCCAGTAGCCTCTTTCTGCGCAGCTGGATCCGCAGAGGCGCCTTGTCGAAGCAGATTGTCGTCGCTCCTGGCTGGAGATACAGCCTTTTCAAGCGGCACGTGCTGCACCGAAGGCTTGTTGACTGGGATTTCCCGTATGAACTCCACAGACTCATACTGACCCCGAATATACCCCTGCCTTGGCGGCGCATCCGGATGCTCACAGGGCTTGGACACCATCATCCAATTGCGGCCGCGGCGCCGAGCCTCCGCGCCCGCGCCGGCACCAGTACCCTCGCTGCCCCCATTCACCTCCGTCTCCCAGTTAATGATAAGAGTCACGAAGTCCCGCGGTGTAGTTGGCTTCGGAAACTGCGCAGAGACATGATACACATTGACAGTACCTAGATCCCGCCCCCCCTGCTCGTCCTTCACCTTCACCCGCTCAATCAGCCGCTCCGCCCCGATCCCGCGCACCGCCTGGTCCGCGACCCGCCCCTTCCGTATCCGCGCCTGGTTCGCCTCAAGCGTCTCGTCCATCTCGCTCGCTAGCTTCCTCTTCCACGTCGAGAAGGGAAGCCCCTCGTGCACGCTCCGGCGCCCAAACCAATGGCCCTTGCCATCGGCGCCTTGCACTTTGTAGATGGGGATCTCGAGCGGATTCTCCTTGGACCCGGCGAGCTTCAGGGGTTTGCCCCATTCGCGCTGGAGAGATGCGAGCTTGGGATCTGTGGAGCCTGTGCGGGCCAGGGACGGGGTGATGCGCGATGCGGCGGGGGAGCTGGAGTCGAAGTTGTAGTGGGTTTGTTTGCGGGAGGGGGCAGACTCCGGTACGGAGTCGACGATCAGGCGCGCTTTCGAGGAGATGTCGTTGACGTAGTCTCGTAGTTTGGCGGAGTCGGTAGGGATGCTGTCCCATGTTGCGGGAGAGAGGCATTGCAATGCTTCTTGCAAGGATGCCATTGGTGACGGACTGGTAGGGTCACACGTCTTTGGAACCTATCTTCGTCGATATTTCTTGCAGTTCTCTGTGTATATGGACTGTCCACTCAAAGAAATGACCGGTTAAATCCGACAGCGTTGTCCGCCTTTGTTCAGTCTGCAATTCAGCACTGCTGGCTACTCCATCTGGGTGTCGACAGGATGTACGTGCGATGAATCATAGTCATGCACAAGAATCAGGACGTCAAATGCATCGGGACATCAAAAGCCCATTCTATCGCCTTACGAATGATGCAGTTCCAATAAATCAAGGATAAATCCGCGCCGGCTGATTTTCCAACATCTCCGTGGAGTTAAGTTGCTCGTCCAGTGTTGGTCCGCCGGATGGGGCTGACGTCATGTGTCTTGCTTGGTACTCCACTACAAAGTAGAGAGGTACAAAGTACACAATGCACCCAAGGAATCAATCCTCTACCTCTAGTGCTATGATGTTCCAACATACGTTCCCCTGATAAAATCAGAGACTACATTTCCAGTCAAACTGGCATTCGCCCCTCGTGAGCAGGTTGCCACAAATCGATATGGATTGTGTAGTTTAGATTAGAGTTTCCCAATTTAGATACATCTCGCGCAAGTACTTCAATGCGTGCGAAGAAAGAATGATGACATTCCTATTGGGAGGAGAGAAGATAAGCAGAGGGTTCCAGCCCTTCAAAGAAGTGAATGACTGTGCCAGCATCCGAATCTCGCCATCATCCACAACTTCCATCCAGTGGAAACGGAATGATGGATCGAGCGCATCCAGGTAATATTATAAACCCAGCCTGGACGGTAGGGGATGAACCTACCATGCGACACACAGGGAATAGGGGACGACCGGACAAAAGAGTCGCACTGGCTTCAAGTGGGCTGACTTTCCACGAGGTCACAGACCAGCGTGTACTTAGCCCTGATCGGAATATCTGCCGCAGGCGAACCTTCCCATCCTTGTAGGCCAATGCGGCGTCCTTCGAATCCTTCGAACCCTACCCCCTGAGGACGCCAAACCCGCTAACATACACATGCCAGATGTGATGTATAAGCAGCGCTGCAGAGCATCCTTTTCCAGCCCACGTTCGTAGACTTCAATCTGGTATCCCGTACCAAAAAGGGGAGGATGTCAGCAGGACAATGGAATGCAGAAAGAAGCCGAATCCAGTCAAGCATCGTCATGCGCTCCCACTGTACCTGTTGATAATGCAGCAAGGAAGGAAATACAAAGGAGGGTGAACATTTCATCCAAATCATATCCCAAGCCGTGAGGCATACCAGGTCTTCATGACATATAATGCGGGATGTAGCATGAGAAAGGAACAAAACAAACAGCCGACCCGCCGCTTCTTGATGCAATGAACTGAAAAATAAGAACGCTGCAAGTGCTGGCTAAAGGAGAAACGAGAGAAACCCGAAGTGTGACTGTAGTTGTGGTTTTTCCAAGGACAGAATACAGGACGCGCAAAGCAAAAACGAGGTGGAGTATCATGGTTCTTCGTCGCAAAGTTGAGAGTGTGAACGCCGTCAATGATGCCAATTAGTCTGATGTGGGTATCCGTAGGAGAGTGGCCCGTGTTGTCGTTGGGACTGTATGCTGCCGGTATAGGTTGTAGAGGAGTCTCGGTGACTTTGCTGGTCGGCACCCGGGGATCTAATCCAAAGACACATGAAAGTCAGGCCGACCGTCAACATCAAAGTGTCAGTGGTGCCATGGATCCATTACATCGTCATCAGCGCAAAATCCTGATATCGACCGCCCCAGCCAAACCCCGACACACTCGCGGCAGTGCCGCAAGGCTGCACCAACATGCTCGGTAGTGGAAGAGCAGTCATAGCGGCAGACGTCACAGCGGCGCTATAGTACGGGTCCGAGTCGTATGGCGAGGTGGTGAAGGGCTGACTGTAAGATGACGTTGAGGAGGAATAGTGCGTCTCATCGAGACCACTGAGACTGGCCCACAAATTCGGATTAGAATCCCCTGTGCTGGCCGTGGTTGGGCTGGATGGTAGTACCTTCCAGGCGTCCATGGACGCGGGTTGCTGCATTGGAGGTTGCCACCATGTGTCCATTCCGACCGAGCTGGGAAGGATAGGAGTGGAACGAAGGACATCCACCACGCGAGGAGGTGGAGGACGCAACGGGACAAAGAGGCTCTCGATCGCCGCTTTGGCCTCATCACTCCTACCCCCGAGCAATTCACCTGCACCGTCCTCCTCAAGCCCTTCAAGGGCTTGAACATTGGTGCGGTAGACGAATCTGTTAGCAGCCTGAACAAACTCTTCTTGTAGCTTCTTCAGCTGCTGTCTCTTCTCGCTCCATTCCCACGTGCTGGTGGCAGCATCCACAGAGTAGACGTCCTGGTGGAACTCCACCAGAGCCTCGATGGTCTCCGGGGTCAGCTTGAAGGCGACCTCGTTCTGAGAAACCATGTCGACATGCACAACATATGCTTCGATGTGGATCATCTGGTAGTTGAAGATCGCTTCCACAAGTGGGTTTTCATCCTTTCGAAGCTCCGAGTCTGGCGCTTTCGGAAACATCATGGAGCACAGAGTCCAGATAGCATGTGGCGAGGACAGAGTCTCCGTCAGACATCTTGTATGCTGTGTGACGTTGTTCAGTGGTCTCTTGACACGGTTAACTCGTTTCAAGGTCGCCGTCAACCAGGGCTCGATCTTGGCACTCAGGACCACATTGGGCGAGGACCGCGGCGCAAATGCTGCGGCCGAGGAGGGTAGTAAGACTGTTGGCATTATAGGACGACTCTCACGTAAGAGATGATGGTTGATGGGTGATACTCCGGAAGTTCGGCAATGGCGTTTATCATATATTCGGGGTGGAAAAGAACGATATCGAGAAAGAAGAAATAATCATAAAGGCGACATTCGCCCACAGCAAGCGACCTTTTTACCCAGCACAGTCCGTCTGTGAATTTTAATCTCACAGGGTCCGCAGAGAGAAAGGGTTACCGTAGCAGTCGGGGGGTAGACAATCGCCTTGCCGCCTGATCGGGTATAGATGGGACAATATAAGGATGGATGGATATTATTGTCTCAAGAAGTCAGGCGTGGATAGTGTGGAGGTCGAAATTAGCTGTGCGGGCGAACGCGCAAAAAAAAGAATAAGAAAGGAAGAAAGTAAGGAACGTCAGGAAAAGAGTGTAAAAAATAAAGCGGAGGAGTGAGGAGGAGAAGAAGAAAAAGACAAGAATCCAGGAAGATGAGGAGGGGCGGGAGTGATGGCTCAAAAGGGAAATAGGAGGATGCAATCGACTCTGAGTTTGTATGGTAAGTAGTATGTAAGTATCGTTTAGTAGTAATGATACTGTGCGTGGGCGAAGATGCGGAGATGAAAGGATATGCAGGCTTGTCAAAAGGAAAAACAAAGAAAGATGGAAGGCAATAATGTTATTATCAATGAGAGAAAGAAAACATTAGCTAGCCGAGTATTATTGTCTTAATTTGAGATCATGTCATACCATGAGGAAGATGACATGATAATATAGTAGGTACCCTCCAATACATATAGGTACGAAATATCTTCCATCGATAACCACCCTCAATAACCGACGATTTCGACCAGTCCTCACTGCTATACACCATCTGACTTGATACAGGTTTCGCCTTCGCCTTCGCAGAATCCCGACCGGATGGGACGAGAGGACTGGGTCCCAGTGCGCGGACACCCCGTCCGATCTCAGCTCCTCAGTCTTCATGCGGATGCATAGAACATCGAGATTGGCATTAGCAGAATGCAAGTGGCCATAAAGGGAGTAGGATAATTTTCCTATTCCTACCTGTCGATTTCTTGACGGCACCTGGGTCGTACCAGTGGACTGTGGATTAGCGCAGTCATTTGCCTCTATCTGTTAGTTGCTAGCGAGGCGTTGAGACATGCTTATGGCATAGTGGGATAGCGTTGGATGGTACAATCCTATTCATCTCAGCACAGATCCTCTGATACCTGTCTTGGGATAATGATCGAGTAGACCACCAATATTAACAGAAATGTTCATGAGTTCCACAGTGTATGCCTTGGTATGGGTATCTGTATTCTTACAACATACTTTACAACGTGCCCTGATCACTCAGACGAATCTAACCGGCTCCGGATTGATTTGAATTAGATCTACTACTCTTGAGCCTAGTCTAAGCTGCAGAATGCTCAAACTGCAAGGCTGGTGGTCAACACGGAGTAGATCATGATGGATCATGGCTAAGCCCCAATGCCCCACCTGCAACGCTGCATCTCGAGACTCAAAAAGGTCGAAACGGTCTCTCCGGCATAAAAACCCCTCCATTCAGCCATGATCGTCGCAGTATCTGGATTATGCATCGTCTGAGATACGAGGGCTAAATTTGAAGTCGAATATTCCCAAGGTCATGCTTTTGGACAAGAGGTTTGTTATTAGCTGTGAGTTCATCTGCCTAGGTATAATCTGTTGCAGCAGTGGTTTTAATTGATCGAGTCATTACTATTGATCACAGTGGGATGTCTCCGTGGGATTGTGGTTAGTCTGTAGGATACTGGATGGAGACCCTAGACGGAGATGCGGCCTAAATCAGTACATCCGCCACCAAGGCTGTTAGTGGGACTTCTAGGTTGGACTTTTCAGCTTGCAAAGGACATCCTTGCTCCACCCTTTTTAGAGAGTGAAACTCAATATCAGGCTCATGCATTTGATCGCTGTGGCTGCTATCAACAACAGTAGGGTGGTAAAGCGAAGAAAATAAGCTGTCTCTCCGATACTCTGTTAGGCAGTCAAGGTATGCATGGAATAAGACACAGCTATTTTGCTAGTGAAATGCATCTGTCGAAGGCTGCAAGTACTGATGGGGTCATAATGACGGCCTTAAACCTAGTTGACACTAGTACTGTTACTGTCGGGTCTATATTTTTGAGGTTGTCTGCTAGCATACCAACATTACTACCACCTAGCGAGCCAACCTCAGCGCTAAGATAGAGATAGTAGTTGCACGGAACATAATAGGCAATAGTTGCAACATCCTTTAGATACTTTAACTGCTAAGCAACCTCCTGGACCCCTTGAAAACTACTGTAATAGGCAAGATAAAAGGGGGCACCATGCATTGCATTCCTTTTCTATTCCTCCGTTGTTCGGACCTATCCATCCTTTCGCAGGTATGGTCCGTCAAAAGAGACAAGATTCAAACACCTTGGTTGAATTGAGTGGTGGTCGTGATTCGTGGGGCGAGCTAAATTGCCGTGACCCTTGGGAAGATACCCTCTTCCGGCCTCAGATTCGCCAGCGGCCAAAGGTCGACTCGTGCACTAGAGAGTAAGACCCCTGCTACGATCAACCATTGGACCGAGCCTGGACGACGGTCATATCCAGACTTTCTGGAACTGAACGCCATTCGGCGACAATCCTGCACTTGTAACATAAACAGACCACGTACAGTGCCGAGCCTGTAATGGGTAACAAGAAGGGAGATGGTGACTCGGGTCAAATCACCTGTCTCACTGCTTACAGAGCAGTTGACCTTGGCTTGCCCAGTGACATGTAAAGCTTGTGAGCAGCAGTTTGCCATTGTCGGATAGCCTCCGCGCAATGGGCCAAAGGGGCAAGCTGTGGCGCGAAGCAAGTTAGCACGCGCTATGGTCTGATATACTAACGGATCTAGTGAAGAGCCTTGTCATCTATTGTAAGTCAACCAGAGAACTTATTTAGAGGCAGTGGAACCCAACGACAGGTGGAGAAGGTTTCGACAACCTGATCTCTCTAGCCGAACCGTCTTCACCACTGGACTCCATAATCAAGACGAGCAGATGCAGGCAGAAGCATTTGACCAAGTGCCACTCACAGTAGCAGTTGATGAGGTCACAAGGTCGGAAAAGCTCAAGTCGAAGAGCAAGACGAAAGGGGATGGGGTCTCAGCACGCGCCCTCAGCGGATTTGATACACGCGGAGAAATACTCACGGGTCATGAGCATGGATAGACGGGATCACGGGAGGAATGATACGGCAAAACGGATCGTACCATCGGTTGAGATCGGCTTCCAACCAGCTTCTGGTGGAATCGTATGCGTCGTCAGCTGCGTACGGGGGAAGTTGCGACACCTCACAATGGCCCCTTGATTGAAACGGCTGTGCTGCTTGCATGACTTGCCTCCACGGCACCCATTTGACAAGGTAACATTCAAGATACCAGAAGCCAACAGAATAGCACCGCAGCTGCGAGTGGAAACAGGACAACCAAAGAGAACCAAATGAAAAGACAGAAATGAAACTGGCGTTATGCATTGGGGACGATCTTTCCATCTCAGCTTTGGTGTTTTCGGTGATGACCGTGACTGCTGCGCCTCACTCGGCTGTTGCCACATCTGAGACAGGCTGATCCATCAGCCACAATGAGTGTGGCAACTCCTGCAGAAGACACGGCATGATATAGATAGGTAAACTGAAAATAGAAGTCAATGGAGTTGTATGGTAGTTGATCGCGTACAAGTTTCACTCGTTTTTTGCTTGAGTTTTGGACTGGACGATATCTGGTTAGTAGCCTACTTACTCCGTGCTGAGAGCGGAATATAGACCCGCATGCTTGTCGTGTGTTACTTCAATCTCCAGATTCAAGTAAACCTATACGACAGCAGAATATATGCATGGTCATCATCATAGAGTATTCCATGGTGAACCCATGTAACGTATTTATCATAGCGATATAGACACTTTGCCATGAACGCACACGCTTTCCCGGGAGTCCAACAAGGACAAAAGTACCAGACTCAAGGCATCTAGACTCCAGCCATGTCGACTATTTGAAGTCAAAACGTAGATCTAGAAGCTCCTCACAGATCAGGACATACAAGAATCCCGTAATATACAAAAGTCTGTACATACAGGTACTTACAAAGTCGGTTTTGCCCAAGCTTACTGCTTACTGTCGCACAATCCCTAAGCGCTCTGTCCTCCTCAAAATCCCTGCCAACAATTAGTCTCGACAATACCTACACATGCAAGTACCGAGCCATCCTCAAAGGGAAACCTGCAGGAGCACTGATCGCAATATCCCCTGCTCGGGTTTCGGATACGACGAGATTCACGCTTTTGACTGGCTGCGACGAAAGCCACAAGACTGGAGGATAGCAAGCCATGTGTGGTGGCCCTGGTGGGCGTCAACAGCTGCGTCGAGACCCACCAAATCCGGCTGACAATGCATACAGGTTTGGTCACCTGTCCGACTAACCGTTTGCAGACAGTTTGAGGCCTCGAGAGAGGACTTTTATGAGTTTGACCTGGGATTCCTCGGGGTGCAATATGTGACAGGCGTTTGATTGGAGAGTCTCGTCGCTAGAAACACTGATTTTGAGACTGGCCCAAGCTATTTCTCTCTCACCTAGCTCGGGTAAAACATGATTGAATGAGCTGTGCGATATCAGTCAATGTTGACAGTCATCCTGAAGCTTACGTCATTTGGCTTCTCTGCACTCATCATGCTGCGAGGATGGCGACAGACTACAGTTTACCCGGGGCTAGTTCGACAGATACAGATTCGAGATTACAAGAACCATCAGTCCATTCTAAGAGCATCCATGGAACTAGCACCGACACTGTATCCGACCTCAATCGTCCATCTCAAGCAAGCCGATACAACTAACAGCGAGTCTGTCGAACGATAAGGCCCTCGTGTGACCTCGCAATCAGCAGAGTGACGCCAAAGGCGACATAATACACCAAAGAGAATGAACGAGCAACGAGAAAACTGTACAGGCTGTCCCTGCTTTCTTACGA